ATAATCATTTGTTTTGTATATACATATGAAGGCTGATTTACTAAAAGAGTTGAGAATATTCACACAATAAATTGTGTGATTATTCCCTTCAATTATCCAAATATGTGGATGTAATAAGTAAACAGGAATTTACTTTTCACGTGATTGAATAACTGAAGTGAATATCCACACACTTTTTTTGTGTTAGCATTCTCGACTTCTTTAGTAAAGCAACCTCCATATGTACACAAAACAAAGAATGAATCTCTGTACATGTGTTTGTGTGCTGTGATTATTTGTGTTTTCATGTTACAGTTGTTGATGACGTGTAGGCTTAATTTATAAAGCTTTCCAATTTAACTCAAGGATAACGATCTTTATCTCAGTTATATGGATGTCATCTACAAAATCTTATTGAAATCCGCTGAAAATAACTTTTAGACACAAGTATCTTTATGGTGGTTTGTTAACTTTGTGAATTGAGGCAACAGTGTATTACATGAATCCATAGACACTGTGAACTTTATTCTGTTTTTGATTAAATAGAGTGTTACATATAATTGTTGATTTAAAGAAATCTACGACATATCCATGCAAACATAACACACGATAGTGGATTTTATATGGGCATAAAATATACAAAGATGATTTCTATAATGAGCTAGGCGTGCTTTATCTGAGCCTTTTTGTCGCAGTAGTAGCTGGTGTTGTAACTCGTGCGTGTGAACAGACACACTGACATAAGCACTCTTGATGAGTCCCACCTTTGTGTTTTGAGTACAGGGTCCTACCATAACATGGCGGACACCGATGAAGGATATGGGATGCCTGATACCCCGGTGGAAGCAGACCACAAGGAGCTGCAGTGCGATACCAAGCAGGACAGTCAGCTGGGGGCCAGCAGCAAGACCCCTACCTCCCCGCAAGCTGCCTTCACCCAGCAGGTAAGCAAGGAGCGTCATGCTATTGCATTAGAAGCAGGATGAGCAGCCCCTTTATCAGTCCATACTACACAATAACCCAACCCGATTACTAATCTCCTTTTGTTTTCTCAGCAATGATTAGAAACTAAATCGCGTCCATTTTTTTAGTGGGAATATGAGACAGCCCCAGCTATTTAATGACAGTTGCCATTTCCCTAAAATGTCATGAAGGCCAGAATGTCTAAAGGACAATGGGCATATCCCAGATATGGGGTATTACTATAGAGGCAAGCTCTAGCGTAGTAGATGTATGAATTTACTGTACACATAGGCATGAAATCTGAGCACACAAATGTTTCATAACTCCCCTTGCAAGATCCTCGAGGCATATTTCCAATTGCCATTGTACTCTAAAACTATATCCATGTATTTCAGTTCCTGTGCCATGATGATTAGCGCACACACACACACACACACACACACACACACACACACACACACACACACACACACACATTACAATTGTTAGAAACGTGTTGAGGTTTGAATCAAGTCTCCTTCATTGGTGTGTTCACGTGTTGCTTGATTTTGCCCCAAAGTGTCTGTTTTAGTAAAGTCATTTTTAATTGTCTTTTAATGCTCAGTCAAGTTTTAGAAAAAAAACCTTTTTCTCATTTCCTTGTTCATCCCTCAGTTTTATTCGGAGTGGACACAGGGCAAAGTAAAAATTAATAAATGAAGTCTATAATAATAAACTATGCATGGAGGACAAGCTGTTATTTATTTGCAAATTACATCTTTAGCAAACAATGCTCCAAATTACAATCTGCACAAAAATAATACAATGTTTGTGATAGTTCAGTAAAAACAACATGGGTTTAAAATGTACTCATTGCAATGACTTCTACTCACCTTGTGGTAGCGCACACACACACACACACACACACACACACACACACACACACACACACACACACACACATTACAATTGTTAGAAACGTGTTGAGGTTTGAATCAAGTCTCCTTCATTGGTGTGTTCACGTGTTGCTTGATTTTGCCCCAAAGTGTCTGTTTTAGTAAAGTCATTTTTAATTGTCTTTTAATGCTCAGTCAAGTTTTAGAAAAAAAACCTTTTTCTCATTTCCTTGTTCATCCCTCAGTTTTATTCGGAGTGGACACAGGGCAAAGTAAAAATTAATAAATGAAGTCTATAATAATAAACTATGCATGGAGGACAAGCTGTTATTTATTTGCAAATTACATCTTTAGCAAACAATGCTCCAAATTACAATCTGCACAAAAATAATACAATGTTTGTGATAGTTCAGTAAAAACAACATGGGTTTAAAATGTACTCATTGCAATGACTTCTACTCACCTTGTGGTACTGTTAGTAACTAATACAAAGTACGATTTTCATGTTTTACTTATCAGCTGTATACTTGTTTGTTTTATAAGACAGAGGCTAATTCATGACAACAAGCGGGCAGAGTATGATACAGATACAAGGGCGAAGATAATAATAAAATGTTACCCATAGCAACCAGATTCTTGCTTCATTTGAAATATATATTATGATTGGTTGTATACATACACACACACACACACACATATATATATTCGCTTTACACAGTACTTTATTTCCTGTGTCCCTGCTTGGAAACAATTGTATATTAACAAAGGAATTTCAGATAGAAGCACGTGATTTATTTAGCTATGGAATCCAGTTTGTGATTAAAGCTGGAAAATAAAGCAGCAGTAACCAATAAATATTTTGCTCTCTGGCCAGGGAATGGAAGGCATTAAGGTATTCTTGCACGAACGAGAATTATGGACGAAATTTCACGAAGTAGGCACGGAGATGATCATAACCAAGGCGGGAAGGTAAGAGTACCATCATTAGAAAAGTAGTAGAAGTTCTTGGTAAGTGTTATACTGGGATATGAGGAGTGCATTCTTTGCAAATGCTTTATTAGTCACATGTCCTAGTCAATTATTGTATTCATTAAACTGGCTGCCAGGTAACGGTCTGTCCTACTTGAGATTGTAATGTAGCAATGTGCCAGGCTGCTCTGAAAATACAGATCCGAAAGGGAGAGAGGAGGATTGGAAGGGGAGAACAAGGGAGAGAGAACCGAGTATGCAGGCTGAGGCTGACAATTACCTATTAATACTAGTATTAGCTTTCCTTGTGTCATAATTTTTACAGCACTCTACAAAAGTCAGCACATACAACAACATAACAACCACTAAACAATCTCAAGACCAAGGTCATTGTAAGAACCAAAGCCTAAGAGCTTGCACTCTAAGAGGCAGGAGGAAGAAACAAAAGTAATGAGATCAGTAATATACAAACAGCACCTGTGGGTGATTATTGGTGGGATTTGTAGGTGTGTGTGTGTGTGTTTGTGTGTGAACAATTTAATAGTTATGTATACACATAAATGGTTTAGGTATGAACTCATAGGCCAGTCTGACCATGTGACTGTTTAAAGGACAGCTTTCCGAAAATGACTGTATTCTGATAACTGCGTGCTGTTAGTACATTTAGTGATCATATGATTTAAGTGTATTCCTCTTTTATTTCACAGACTTTGATTTATAGTTTTTTTCAGAATTACAGCTGTTCAGGAAAATGTCAGCGACAGGGTTTGGGCACAAACTAAAACATTGCTAAAGGTGCTGGAGCAGTATCAGTAATATTACAAAAAAACACATTCAAGGTGAATCTTATAAACACTCCGGGCAGTGTTCTAGTATACATAGGTTGAAAAAAAGACACAAGTCCATCGAGTTCAACATATAGAGATAAGAGTAGGAAAAAAAAAAGAAAAACCCAAAACAGAGCGCAATGCTCATAGTTACCCACTGTTGATTCACAGGAAGGCAAAAGTTTGTCACAACACTGTCACTGTCACTTTTGCTGGTCAGCTCGGTCTGCACGTG